ATAAAAGTCGCACTCAAGTGGAATCCTTTCTATAGACTTGATATTCTCATTGGGAGGAAAGCAAACTATATTCAACTTTCGAACAAGGCAATCGATGAGATTATCATCCTTAACTTCGGATAAGAAAACACGCTTGCTCTCAATGAACTTGTCAAGTGATTTAATAACAGTGTCCTTAGCTCGGTAGAACCATTGAGCCGTGAAATAACGCATTCCATCTAAATCTTCAAACATCTCAACGATTTTACAAATACAATTGTCTTTACCTTCCTCACCATTAACATAAGCATCATCATGAAGATTAGAAATCTCTCCATCCACTTTTACCATCGAGAAATGGCGTTTAGCCATTCTTATATCTACATGCTGCTTCTAGTTGTTTGTTCTTGGGATCCTCCAATGGATTTTCACTATTCCTAAAACGATTGAAGCCGCTTATTCCTTGGCAAGGTGGGCCACCACATACAACATCAACACTCCCTGGCAAAGGCAAAATACTTGCTTTAAACCTATTCTCAATGAACTCCTTCATTTTCTGCTCACAACCACTCAGACCCTCAATGGGTTCCCATGTGTCATCAGCTTCGCCATAACCTTTCCAACGTATCTTGAAGTGCAATCCAGACTTTGCAGTTTTCTTTGGATCCCCAAAGCAAACTTCTAATACTTGTTCAACTTCATATACTTCATTTTCTGTATCACTTGTAGTCCCTTCTTCTTCTTCTTCTTCATTACAAATATTCAAGCAAGGATGTGGTGTTGAGTTGCTTGTTATCAGAGAGGAAGAGACACAAAGGTGTTCCCATTCCTTGAAAAGGCACAAGAAATCCTGAGCAGCTTCATTTCGGACCTGCGTCTCTGGATGATTCCATCTCAAGCTATCACATGCTTCACTATTGAAATCCACTGCCCATTTTGTTACAAGCTTAACACCATAGTTCGCAGCTCCAAGACATAAACCAGTGGACATCGCACCACAGCCAGAATACATAAACCATTGGACATCGCACCACAGTGTCCTTTGCTCGGTAGAACCATTGAGCCGTGAAATAACGCATTCCATCTAAATCTTCAAACATCTCAATGATTTTACAAATATAATTGTCTTTACCTTCCTCACCATTAACATAAGCATCATCATGAAGATTATAAAGCTCTCCATCCACTTTTACCATAGAGAAATGGCGTTTAGCCATTCTTGTATCTACATGCTGCTTCTAGTTGACATAAACAAGTGGACATCGCACCACAGCCAGAATACAAATCAAGGAGGGTGTTTTCGTATACATGTTCTTTTATTTCTGCGGTGCTACTTTCACTAGACATAATCGAATCCAATTCTCTGACAGCTTCAGCATGTGGAAAGCTTATAAATGTTGAATAAGGTACATGATACATCATATCACAATAAAAGTCGCACTCAAGTGGAATCCTTTCTATAGACTTGATATTCTCATTGGGAGGAAAGCAAACTATATTCAACTTTCGAACAAGGCAATGGATGAGATTATCATCCTTAACTTCGGATAAGAAAACACGCTTGCTCTCAATGAACTTGTCAAGTGATTTAATAACAGTGTCCTTAGCTCGGTAGAACCATTGAGCCGTGAAATAACGCATTCCATCTAAATCTTCAAACATCTCAACGATTTTACAAATACAATTGTCTTTACCTTCCTCACCATTAACATAAGCATCATCATGAAGATTATAAAGCTCTCCATCCACTTTAACCATAGAGAAATGGCGTTTAGCCATTCTTGTATCCACATGCTGCTCACTGATGCTTCTTCCATTTGTGTTTAAGTTCGTCCTTTCATATCGACAATGTCATCGCCGCCTAGCTTCGGCGTCCGGAACCGGGTCTCCGACAAAAATATCCTCGTCAGGCGCGGAATTCTTCGGCACAGTCTGCTCCTCCACAGGCTCCAGCTGTTCATCCCGCATACATCTCTTGTTCCTCCGTGCCGGAGCCGACGAAGCTGCTAGGTGTTTTCGAGCCATTCGCGGCGGCGGGGAACGGATGCAAAACCCTAAGAATGCGCCCCGATCTGTGGAGGGCTGTATATATATATATATATATATATATATATTTATATATATAAAGATGCAGCGCCTCTCTCACTAGATTCCGGTCGCCATCGATGGCGGCGATCTACAATTCTCGTCCTCTATGGCTACAATAGATGGTACAAGTGCTTTCGCAGACATCGCAGCTTCAGGGATCTACAAATCGCCAGCGAGATACAAAGGGTTACCATCAATCGTCTTTTCTGAAGACGAAATTCAGGTATTATCTGCGTCCTTCTCTAAAGCTATTGTTGGACAATTTAATTCTATGAGGCCGGCGCTGGCCCGGATCCGTTTTCTATTGGAAAAAATAGGCTTCGAATCCAGTTTCTCTGTTTCCCTTCTTGATGAACACAATATTTTGATAAACTTTTCATCGGACAAGGATTTTTTGAGATGTTTGCTGCGTAAATCATGGAAATTAGATGGATGTACTATGAAGGTTTTCAGATGGACACCAGATTATGATGCAGAAACAGAATCACCTCTTATTCCGGTTTGGATTGGTCTAGAAGGACTGCCAATCCATCTTTTTGATTCAGCTGCTCTTTACTCAATTGCAAATCTTATAGGGAGACCTTTGCGTACAGACAGTGCAACCAGAAACCTTACTAGGCCTTCTGTGGCTCGGGTTTGTGTCGAACTTGACCTCTCTAAAGAGATACCAAAGGCTATATGGATACACCTTGGCAAATTCTCTTTTTTTCAACCCATTTACTACGAAGATCTTCCAGCTTTCTGCTCGGGTTGCAAACAATTTGGACACACAAACTGCAAAGAGGGGGTTCGATCATCTAGATGGACTCGTAGAGATACCTCAAAAACCAATTTGAAAGCCCAAGTTCTTAGCCAACCAAGGGCTTCTAAACCCCTGCAACAAGACACCAAAGCTGAACAGCAACTTACAACAGATTCCAAGGAAGCTTTTAGCGATGTGGATATGGCGATAACTCTAGATAAACATCAAGCAACCGCCCCCTTGATGGCACTGCCAATGGATAGCAACACACCAATAGTCACTCCTGCACCAATGGACACTTCCATTTCTCCTACACCTCATGTTACTGATCTCAAGCAGTACCCATTTGTTTCTGTGGATGGCATAGAATAGGTAGAGCAATCAGAAGCCAACGATATCACAAACTGTTTTGACTGCAACACTACAAAAAACACCAAGGATGAGCACTCAACCCCTGATCCTGAAGTGGTTTCTGTGGCAGTGGACAACCTGACTAAGGAAGCAGATTTGGAACCTACACAAGAACACTCAATTGAGGAAAGCATGGATGGTATGACTGCACAAAATGCTATTTATGTAGGAAATACAATCAACCTAGATGAGTTTCCAGTACTTACAAGACAGAACATGGAGGAGGAAGTACACACTCCAACTGTGGAGGCGGTTGTACACACTTCAACCGAGACGGAGAAGGATAACACAACAGGGACCCTAATGGCTGAAGATACAACAAAGGAAAACACAACACCAAATAATTCAGATGTCAACCCTGCCAGCATTGGACCGATCCTCCACTCTTACATGACGGTCAAAATTATGAAATCAGGTCTTACATGGAGGAAGGACAAACGTCCAACCGCAATGATGAAAACCTCATAGCTAACGAATTCCAAGAAGTCCTGAATAAAAAAAGAAGCAAAAAGAAGCAAGCTATGCCAAGGACCATCAAAACCAGAAGCTATGATCCTTTTGGTACGTTGGGCCCGTTGGTACCATGGAGAAAATAGTTACTACCGAAAGTTATTCTGGACCCTTTTGGTACGTTGGGCCCGTTGGTCCAATTGGCACAGATGGAAAAAGGCCGAAGAAAATAATGCCCAGAAATCTCTCTTTCGATCAACACCCGGGTTTTATAATCTGGGAATGATCCTTTTCATTATGTTTTCATCCAATTCCCCTTTTATCAATCCTTTTTATTTCTTGCAATTCTAGAGGGGCGTTGGCCTAGTCCTCCCTTCTTTGTACTTTTCTTTATTTTGCATTTTAATAAAATTCTCCTTTCAATAATACACACACACACACACACACACACACACACATATTTCTTATTATATAAATGTGAAAGATGGTTAGGTACCCCTTAATATTATGCACCTTTTCCATCCATAAAACATGTACCATTAGCTTTAAAACTTGTACCATGCAATTTATACCCCAAAAAGTCCTTAACACCGTTAGTTTTTTTTAATCCCTTCATTCTCTAATTCACAATTACGAAGATGTTTTATAGCCTATAAACCACAATTGTAAAATATTATTATTATCATTAGAAAAATTATTCAAAGTAATCCCAACTTTATCGAGTCATTAAAAAAATCTCAAAATCTATTTCTCTTTCTTTTTTAAAAGATTAGTCTTACCTTATAAAAAATAAAAAATAGATATACAAAATAACGAAAATGAGAAAAAATTAACTCAGACAATACAAAATTAATGAAATAAATAAGGTAATCAATAGAATATAAGGTAATCAACGAAATTAATTTAAAACTGGTAAGAAATAAAATAAAAATATAAGGTGTGGAGGGTTCTAATATTTTACACACTATACATATTATTAATGCACTAATACTTATTTTTTGAAAGAACAGGTAAATTTAGGATTATTCTATACTATTTCTCCTAAAAATAAGAAGTTGTACATTAATTCTCAGTATAGTATGTAAAATGTTAAAACCCACCACTTTATATATTTTTATTTTATTCAGTTTATTTCATTAAACATATTGAGGATGGTTATTGATAGTTTTGACACCACATATGTATTTGTAGAGTAAAAACTTACTAACTCAAAATCAGCATGCTACACTTTGAACAATACAAAACAAAGACACGTAAAACAAATACATGAGAAAAGTTCATATATAATACGGAGTAGTATATAACACTAAACTTTAATCGGGCACGTGAATCCGTGCATCGCACGGAATCATCCACATGTACATATAATAATGTTTTATTATATCCTATATATATGATTATTTAATTAATCCATTAGTTTAAAACATATTTTGTTTACATAATTAAAATAATGGCCATTAGTTTCGTATAAAATTTTGGCCATTAGTTTAATGGCCATTATTTTTGTATAAAATTTTATATCTATAAAATAATGGCCATTAGTTTTGTATAAAATTTTTGTTTTTAAATAAACATACCAATACATATTCCACAAGTATAAAACATATTTTGTTTACATAATTAAAATATATCTATAAAATATTTTTTAACTTTATCGATGTTTTGAAAAATTAAGTTTATATGGTTTTTAAACACAATAAATCATTTCTCTTTTAATACTTTTAAAGAAAATACTTATAGAGTCTTTAATGCATGTACATCTATACTTAAATTATATTATTCGAAAAAGATATATCTTAGAGTTAAAAAAATATTCATCTAACACATATTATGTCACTATTAGAAAACTAAAATAAATAAAATTATATATATAGAATATCAAAAATTTAGAATGTATACGAGCACGTACGAAGCATGAGGTTAACACTAATTTCTTCTTGTAAATTCTAATTTATAATTAAATTGGGGCCGGAAGGACTATGTCAAAAGTCAAATGAACTTTTTTTGCTTTGTTATTGGTGGGCTTATGGTATACCAACTCCACTCGAGGTCGCTTTTGCTGTGAATCTGTGATCTAGTTTAGGAGTGCTTTACCTTCTCTCCAATAAGCCATCAACCATCGCACGCCCAAACTCAGGGCTTCACGTTAGTTCATAGCCCTGCAACTCACCCTTTCTACATACATGATCACCTGCTTCTCCGATACGTAGAAATACTCTTTCTTCATTCTTATCTCCCAAACCTTTTGCAGTCTGAACTGAAATCAAAATTTTCACAGTGAACCATCATCTTCGGGTCTCCTTGACTTGGAATTCCCCCTCAAAATCCTACACTTCCTTCCCCTCTTTAAGTCAACTTATCTTTGTTGCAGACAGGTGAACGCTGCATTCTGTTGTTGATTCCTTGACGGCTAGGCCGGAGCGAACTCTAGGAGCTTTCGAGAGATTTTTCAACTCTAACCTCTATTCTCTGAATTTTGTCACTGGAATGTCGCAGATCTTGGAAACTATTCGGTTGTAAGGACTGAACTTGGGGGTTTTCGAGGAACGGGACTTATTTTCTCCAGCTCATATGATTTGCGCCCCAATTTTTGATGGCATTTAGCGTCGGGAAATCTTACCCAACCAATGATCGTATATTATTTCCGTTTTGCCTTTTTTTATTATAGCTGTGACTCATGAAACTATGTAACTTATAGGAGTAGGGAACCCAGGCAGTTTTGAACTCTTTTTGGACTGAGCTTTGGGTGAAAGGACTGTGGTCTCTCAGGTTTAGGGTTTGCCTGTGGTTTGTCATGGCTATTTAGGGTTCATCAACTTCCATTTGCTCAATTATGGCCGAACGTGATTATTGCTTTGTGGAATGGAAAGAAAAGTTTGTTTCAAAAGAGAGGGGCAATCGTGTGGTTCATTATTTCTTGAAGGACAGTTCTGGGGATTCTGTGCTTGCTATTGTCGGCACTGAGAGAAGTGTCCGGCACATGTTCTATGTTGTTTCAGAAGAGTTCTTGAAAGTACATGGTGCTGATACTTCAATTCAAGCTGGCTTCAGATGGAGATCCAGGAGAGAGGTTGTCAACTGGCTACATCTATGCTATCCAAGCAGAATAGGCAGAGTTATTACTGCTCAAGTATGCTTAGCGTTACCCTATTTTGTCTTTCTTACCTCTAGATATTATTTCCATTTTCTCTTTTTGGGAATCAAATAAAATGGACAATGATAGGAGAATTGCAAACTAACCATGAAGGGCTAAATATACTTTGTTGCTATGCATAAATTGTAGTTCACGTTTTTCTGAACCTTTTTTTTAAATCCTGGATTAGTTTCAATCTTTAAGAATCTTGGTTATTATATGGTCAGTTTACAAGTCTTTGCCGGGGAATATTTGCAGATATCATATCCCCATAGTGCAAATCAATTGGGTGGCAGCTAGATCTTCACTTGGTCCTTTTTTTAATTTACCTTTTGAGCATTGACACAGTACCACCAAACAATTTAACTTAACATATGGACTGAAACAGAGATTCATGACAGGGTAACATAAAAAAACAGAACTTAGAGATTCATAACAGATGTACTCACATTTACCCCTATAAAATAGAGTGGCTGTTTGGGTTAGATCCTTGATTCATTGTTTCATTTACTGTCTGAAACTTCATTGAAGTTCATGTGGTCAACTAGTTACGTGAAGCTAGAACGTTGCCAATAATGACTCTTTTAGCGCCATGGTTCTATTTAATCAATTGTCTAGTTAAAGTAACATGCAAATCTTTTTCATTTTAATTTTGTTAGTGGCTAATGGGGGAGAGGAAAACCAAACAGATGACCTACTGGGAGTGTAAGGATATTTCTTGGTTTATCTATTTCATTATTTGACCCTAGTTTCTCACTACCTGTGACCCCTCATTGCTGAACTATTCTCCGTGATACCAAGGTTTTAAAAGGCGAAAACTAGCCTCGAGGCGGTAGAGGAAAATGCCTCAAGGCGTAAGCCTCGAGGCGGAACAAGGCGTAAGCCTCAGATCAACTTGATAAAAAATAACAAACAAAACAACTTTTAGGTAAACAAAATGCATAATCCATAATTATGTCAAATAAGTCATTAAGTAATACATAAGTTTTCATTTAAAGCAAAAAAGGGGGGCAAAATAAAAACGCAATACGATAATCATGATTCAAGATAACCAAAACACTAAAAAAGTTGATGTAAAACCAAACTATATGTAAAAGATTAACTTTAAAGTAATTATAAATTATAATATAAACAATTTAACAATGAAAAATCTTAAAATTTAATAATGAAAAATCTTAAAATTGGCTAACTTAAAATTATTCAAGTTGCTGGAATTTTGGAAAATAAAATTACCAGAGTAAAAAAAAAGTTAAAACAAATCTTCAAGAAATCATAAATTTGTACCTTAAGAGTGAAACAGAATAGGAAGCCAAATTGCACAGGGAAAGCCGCGACCAGAGAGAAACGACCGGAAGCCAGAGAGAAAGAGAGAGATGGCGAAAGAGAGAGAATCGGAAGCTGGACAACCACGCAGGTGTGCGATTGGAAAATTGGAACTTTAAGTGTTTTTATTTATTTATATTTAAGTAGTGCTTCCTGCCTAACTTTTTCAAAGGGGCCAGCTATTTGAAGGCCCAATAACTTAAATTCAAAAGGGCAGAATATGGCTTATACGGACTATATTTCAAGGCGAACGCCTCGTTTCCTCCTCAGCGCCTTACCGCCTCGAACCGCCTCAATAAATCAAGGCGTACGCCTCGCGGAAATCATCTGGTGCGAACGCCTCTGGGGCAAAAAACTACCGCCTCAGCGCCTTACCGCCGCAGGGCGGACCGCCTTTTTCGCCTTTTAAAACCATGCGTGATACCTCACATGCACATGCCCTTATGCATTAATGGTCTGATTCATTGGTAATCTTTAAAGTCAAACTCAAACATATACATTCCAATTGAGAACATTCATGTGCATATGGCTGTATGGCTTGGTTTATACACTCATAATCCAGTTTGATCCTATTTTACAATTTTGATGCATGAATTGTCCATTGTTAGAAACTTTAATCTTCTTTTTGCTTGCCGTTAGTAGTGTTATCACCTTAAAAATGGTATACCCTTGGTGCGTTTTCTTCATTTTGTGTCACAAACTCACAGTATTTAAAAATACTTTTATGGTATGTTTGAGAACATGGATTTGGATTTCAAATCCGGATTTGGCTTAAATTCCATGTTTGGGAAACTTAAGCATTTTGAATTTGGATTTGAATCAAATTCTTTACATTCAAAACAAAGCTTAATTTGAAATCCATGCACCTCCCCTTGTCATTTGAAATTCAGAATTTCAAATTTTGGAATTGAAATGCATCAATTGAAATGAAATGCTAGTTGCCAAACACTACCTTATATATTTTAATGTTCTCAACATTTAACAAACAGAATTGCTAAAAGATTATCCAGCATCCAGAGTCAATTTTGAACGAAGTCAGGTGACAGATGATAAGGTAAAACCTTCCCTTTTAAATTATGATACCTTTCTTTTCTTGCCATCACTTGTTTTTCATGCTCATATGTTCTGTGTATCAGGGACGTCTAGCCAGGATTTTGAATGGACCATCTCCGGATATAGTTTGGTCAGGTGAACCATGGACATGTGGTAAACAGCTAAAGCATTACCCAGGATTTCGCAGGAATGGGATTGCAATCACAGTTAGTGTACCTCCATACAATATTCCATCCTCTACTCAAAATTTTTAATGATATTTAGCATAAATTTTNAGGTGACAGATGATAAGGTAAAACCTTCCCTTTTAAATTATGATACCTTTCTTTTCTTGCCATCACTTGTTTTTCATGCTCATATGTTCTGTGTATCAGGGACGTCTAGCCAGGATTTTGAATGGACCATCTCCGGATATAGTTTGGTCAGGTGAACCATGGACATGTGGTAAACAGCTAAAGCATTACCCAGGATTTCGCAGGAATGGGATTGCAATCACAGTTAGTGTACCTCCATACAATATTCCATCCTCTACTCAAAATTTTTAATGATATTTAGCATAAATTTTTGAGGTTATAGAAATGCAATCTTAAAATATTCTCTAAGCATTTATCTTATTGTAACCCAATATCTTACAAAGTGTCACCTTCCCTACCTTGGTGTCAGCACCACCCATGATGATGTTTTACCTATTCCTTTCAATCAAAGTTTGCTAATTGGAACTATCTATTTATCCTGAATCCTGATACCTGAATGAATGCAGACACATTCATTTGTCTTTGTGATGGCTGAAAAGGAGAATCACTACCTCGCATATCTGGAGGATATGTATGAGGATAGGAAAGGCCAGAAAAAGGTTAAAGTCAGATGGTTCCACTTTAATCAGGAAGTCAGAGGCATTGTCACCTTGCGGAATCTGAATCCCAGAGAAGTATTTATGACACCTTGTGCTCAAATCATCAGTGCAGAGTGTGTTGATGGCCCTGTGATTGTACTGACTAGAGCACATTATCATAAATGTGCAGCAGTTTTTCCAAGCGACTTGCTATCAAGAGTACACTTTTGCTTTAGGCAGTTTAAGAACAAGAGAGTGAAGCCTTTTGAGCTGGATAAATTGCGTGGCTATTTTAATCAACCAATTTTCTCATGTTCCAGTCCTCATTTTTTTGAAGATGAAGAGTTTACTATGAGAGATGAAATTAAAGTTGGATCTAAAAGGCACATAATTTATGAAGAGCATGAGATGGAGGCATTGGAAAAATCATACCCAACGTTAAAAAGTAGCTTCTTCGGCGGTAGAGGATTGAACTCCCACAAGCAAGTTGAATGCCAGCTTTGGCATATGCTGAACTTTAAGGTTGATGAAAAGATTGAATTTTTATGCCAAGATAGCGGAATGCGAGGCTGCTGGTTCCGATGCACGGTCCTGGAGATATCCAGAAGACAATTAAAAATCCGATATGACGACTTAAAGGATGAAGATGGTCGTGGTAGCCTTGAGGTATGCATGCTTTGGAATTTATAAGTAGGCAGACATGGGTAACATTACATTGATTTATAACGAACTGGCTTATTTTTTTTTTTTTAATTAATATTTTTTTTTAATGTGATAGGAGTGGGTCCCGGCATCTAGAGTTGCCAGGCCGGATAGACTTGGAATACGAAATCGATTCCGTCCAACAGTTAGACTGGCTCGACCTTGTGAAAAAGAAGGCGACCATATCTTTGAGTCTGGTGTTTCAGTTGATGCTTGGTGGAGTGATGGATGGTGGGAAGGTGTTGTTACTGACACCAGTAACTATGTGGTTGAAGGCTATCAAGTTTATATTCCCAGTAAGTTTTTTTAAATCAAATTAAACTCTATATCCACGTAAATTCCCTGAATACTTTCCTTTTGCTCTTTTGTGTGATTTTTCACTCTGACTTGCATTGCCTTTGATCTTTTATTATTAGGTGAAGATCTATTCCTCAGTGTAGACAGCAAGAACATAAGAATTTCAAAGGACCTGGCTTCTGTTTTCTTCTTGAAGACAGAAGCCAGGTGGAGAAAGTAATTGTACTTATAACTCAAGCTTATGTGCATCATATAATCAGGTAAGTGCTCTAACTCGATGTCTTATTATTTTAGCTATTCTATTTGAAAAAGTAGAGGGAACCAAATTTGTTTTTCAATGACTTATCAATCTGAAAAAAAACAATTGAGGACTAAGAATGGTTCAAGTGGTTCTTAAGATTCAACTTTTTTTTCTTACCATGTGGGCACCTCTAGTTACAAGGTTGGTTCAAAAAAAATATTCTCAAAATGAATTTGAAAACTGCACTCTTTACAATAGTTTGTGCTTAATTTGCCTTTTGGAGCAATAAACTAAAATTACTCGGAATGGAACAACACGTATTAATTCACTCTAGTTCTTTTCTAATTGATCAATTGATTCTCATATATTTGAAAGTTTCTAATTCTGGTTAAATGTGCCTTTCAAACTTGTCATGAACTCTACAAATGCATTTCATATTAAGATTAAAAGTTGAGAGTTCTATAAGGATGACTTGTGGAATATTCAATTTTGCTATGAAAACTGTTGCCAAGACCATAAGTGAAGGGAGAGTAGTTCATGTGCTTTCAAGAACAAAGAAAAAAATTTTCATTTTTNCACGTATTAATTCACTCTAGTTCTTTTCTAATTGATCAATTGATTCTCATATATTTGAAAGTTTCTAATTCTGGTTAAATGTGCCTTTCAAACTTGTCATGAACTCTACAAATGCATTTCATATTAAGATTAAAAGTTGAGAGTTCTATAAGGATGACTTGTGGAATATTCAATTTTGCTATGAAAACTGTTGCCAAGACCATAAGTGAAGGGAGAGTAGTTCATGTGCTTTCAAGAACAAAGAAAAAAATTTTCATTTTTAAAAAGCATAGTTTTCATTGTGTACTGCATTCAAAACATTTTCTGTGAGGGGCGAATGAAAAAAAATAACAAGGGTGTTGTACTTAGGACGCTAAAAAGAATCAAAAGAAAAAAAACAATTAGATACAGATTAAAAAAATAGTCCTCGTTATAATAAGACAAAATAAAACAATTCCTGATTATTGAATTTAAATTAAATAAAAAGAGCTTAGTAGAGTAGGTTCCCAATGCTTCTTAACAATTTTTTTGAACTTAGAATAAAAAAATCCCCTACACCTTGTTACACATTCAAGTGGTTTTTCAAATCCAAAGCAGATATTGTGTTAACGTTTCAAAATGTTTTAACTGAAAAATTCTGTATTTCTAATGACACTATTGGGGTTGAATTTAAAAATTTTGTTGCTCAAATGAGAAAAAAAAAAACAATTCTTCCTCAACACAATCTATAGAGGTTATTGTTGAAATTGATTCTCTAAGCAGTTCTTTGTTGATTTTGGGCATGAAAGACTGGTTTCTTTATTTTAAAATGACAATTCTTTATACACAACTTGTTACTAATGATAACTGAGCTTTTTACAAGCTAAGGGAATATTGAAATAAAATTTTGTTTGGACTTCAGGAACTAAGTTTTTAGAACAAAAAGGTTGTTTCTAATATAGTGTCAAGACAAACTTTCGAACATGTCCAACAAACTATTTTTTCCAGACTATAAGGTAAATTAAAGGGTTGTATTCATGAGAGCAGTGCTGATTCTTTGTTTTAAAGCATATAACAACTATTAGCAAAAAAAGTCAAATTCTGTTTTTTTCAATTCGTTTGCTCTTGTAGTTCAAAACCAATGAAAAACATTTTTAATCGGATTTTATTTAATTTAAACTATTCAGACAATAGTTCCTATTTTATGTGTTTTAAACAAAATTTCAAAGAGAGTGTTTTGCTTGATGTTGTTGGTTAGAGAAGGGTGTAAGTTCTTTTTAAAAGGGAAAAAGGGAAGCCATTAGTAGAAAATAGAATAGAGGAGCTGAAAGATGATCAGATCATTTAAAAAACTACCTACTACAAATTAAAAAAAAAGGTGTTTTAGTACAGAGTAACAAAAAAGGGTTATTTTCCAAATACTCTAATGTGTTGGGTACGATTAGTGTTATTTGTGCTTTGAAAGTAGTTACCTCTCACCATAACACCTAATTTTTCAGAAACTTGATCACTTCTGAGAAATTTTGTTGTTAGAGGTTTATGTGGTTATTTGGAAAATTAATTTGTGAGTAATACTAAGACTAGTTTTTATTGTTTATTTTGACCTTGTGATTAGCTATTTGGTTTGTTGTGGAGTTTTGTTTTGAGTGATCACATGTTGTTAAGAGTACAATATGGATTCTCCATGTTGTCACGAGCAGAATGAGGAGTCTAGCCGAAGACACTAAAAGAGGGCAACTTTCTGGGAGGCAACCCAGATATTTAAACTTTTACTTTTATGCATTTTATTTATTTATTTTTTCTTTTCTTTTATTCTCATCTTTACTTGCACTTTGTCTGCCTTGCATGCTTAATTGTCATATCTTATGGTGCCTTCCCCATCATCTCACATCTGTTTTATGATTCTACATGTTTCATGTTGATTAATTGTTTCATCTTGTATGTGCAAAAGTTCATCATTTTTACATCATTTACATGCATTAAGGACACTGCATGATTTAAGTGTGAAAGGACGCTTCTGCATTTAGTTATGCATATTTTAGAAAAAATTTTGTTTGCATGTTTTCATACACACACTAGGAGCATGAATTGGGTAGAAAAAGAGGTATTTCATGTCAAATTCTGTATTTTAGATGCAATTTGGTTAAAATTTAAAATTTCTAAAGTTTTTTAAGAAAACAATTATCTTTCACATAAAAATCTATATAAAAAAGAAGAATTTCAAGAAAATTAGAAATCATAATAGTTTCTTTTTATCTTTAAGCACTCTTAAGTGTTTGTATTTTTGCATTAAATTGAAATTAAAATTTGTAACAAATATGTTTGAAATTCTTTAAAAATGAGTTTGCTACTTAATATTTAAATCATTTCTCTTAATTCAAATTTGATTAGAACTTATTTTTGTTTAATTTCATACCTTTCAATTAGTTAAGTTCAATGTGCACAATTTATTTAGAAAGACATGGAGCAGTTTTCCAACTAACTCTTTTTTGTCCTAAGTTGCTATTCAAGTAAAGTTAGTCTTAAGAAAAAAAATTTCTTTTTCTAAATTTTGGTTATTTACATATTATCAAGATGCTGAAATGATTAAATATATATAGTGGAACACCATCTTAAGTTGGCATGGGTGGCACGGCACCTTTGTCCCCTTAAGCAACAGATCCCAAAAGGAAGTGATGTTGTGTATGGAGAAAACCTGAGTTGGAAGAGCAAACCCTGTTTTGGGCCGTACGAATCTCGTCCATAACCAGTTTAAAAAAATATAACTGACGCCATTGAGCCAAAAAAGAAAAAAGGGCAATAAATGGCTAGGTAAAAACAAAAGAAAAAAATTGAATTAAAATATTGTTTGCACACTCGAGTCAAAACCCTCTGGAATGGGTCTGGGGTAGCCTGGTTGGGACTCACTACACGGGTCAACTCAAACAATTAAAATTAAATATTGAAAGAAACCAATAAATAAAAGTTTCCAAATTTTGGAAAAGAAAATAAATTTTCTTGAGCTTTTCTTTACTTGATTGTTTCTTAAGATTTCTAACTACTTTTTGCTACTCTGTAGATTTTTTTTAAATTGTTCTCAATGGCCTTAATTAATTCAAAGTTTTGACATTCAATAAAAATAATTTCTACTTAACTTTGAAGTAAAAGAATTGTTTTAAAATTTAAGTAGCAAATTTATTTTTAAAGTGTTTATTCTATTTGGTACATGATTAATTTTTGTTTAATGTTTCATGCATCACTTTAATTGTTATGAGATTGAAAAATTATTTTGAGCTCTAATGTCACCCAAAGAGAAAAAAAATTTATTCTAAGATGTTTAAGTTGCACGAGGACGTGCAAAAGTTTAAGTGTGGGGGTATTTCTTGAGTCACAAAATATCATATTTTATTCTCTCATTTCTTAGTATTTTTAAGATTTTTATATGCATTTCATACCAAAATAAACATATTTTGTTATATTTAGCATTTTAGGCTACTGTTTACATTTTATTCATAAAATGCATGATTTTGAGCATATTTATATTTGACAATTATTTTGGAATATTATTTTCATTGGCATGAAATTTGTAGATAATACATGGGAGTCCAAAAAGTCAAAGAAGATATTGAAGTTGAATTTTTGGTAGGGGTGAGCAAGTACCGAACCGATACCAAAATTTCCCGAAAAAACCGAGAATACTGAACCGAAAAAAATACCGAGAAGGAACCGAACCAAGCCGAACCGAATGGTCGGTACGGTATTTGGGAACGGTACGAGGGGACGTCCCATACCGACTATGGTTGTCATCCCAGTAGCTAATGGTCTAGCAAAGGGAACCTTCAGGTTTCAGCCTCGGAAACCAAACCTCTATGTTTGAGTCTACATTATTCAAGCATATTGCATGGCTAAGTGACACTGCCCATCCCAACACCAATAGGAGGGAACAAGATAACAAAAAAAAAACCATCATATTTGATAAACCATGTCATAATATGCCCTAATGCAATCTACACCCTTCCTTAGTCCTGCCAATTTGACCACTCTCTTGCATTCTGCTTCAACCATAAATCCAACCCTTTGTCTGCCCTTAGCAAGCCCATGCCAGGAAATGGCAGACCCCAAACGAGAGAAAACTTCCAAGTTAACCATTCAAAAGCATCTAATACCTGCGAAACGAAACCCAAATGCACTCCAGCAAGAGATAAGGCAACCATAGAACTAAACAAAACTATATGCTAATGATCACACCAAAAAAGGACTAAACTAATAGCACTGAAAGATCCTGCGAGATCAATCAGTTTCATCCTTTTCTTGTCCTGCCATTTTCTTCTTAAGTTTCTTTTTTGACTTTTTCTTTTGGCTCTTGGTTAAAGGCTTATTTGTGGACTGCTTCTTGGTTGCTTTTTCAGGTTTGTTTGGACAACATTCCTTGAAAAAATTTCTAATGTCTTCTGCAAAGTTAAACTCTGAGCCATCTGACCCTTCCTCCCATACCATTGGTGTTTTCTTTCTACCTTCTTCCAAAATCTTTGCCTTACTTCGGGTTACTATTTGAGGAGAGTAGATGTGCCTACCCTTGAATTCTCTCCCCAAATCGAAAGGTGTTTTGAACATCCTCGAGTAATCTATTTAAAGAGGTTTGAGTATGTTGTCATTGAAGGCCTTGTCTTCTCCTTCTGAGTGCGTATAAAGAATAGGCCCCTCTCTTTCTTCCCAGATGTCTTCTAGTGCAATGTTGCTAAGTACCATGTTCCCATCATCAATTTTGTCAAAATCAACATCCTTGAAAGGGCTGCCTTCTTCCAGGTCTTTTACTTGATCAAAGAGAGCTGCATACGAGTTGGGCTTAAGTGGGATGAACTCGGCAGCAAATGGGGATAGGCACACTCTTGGAAGCTGGGGGTATTGAGAATTGTAAGATGAAGAAGGCTCTGCCTGAGCAGTGTTCTCCTTTAGATTTTGAAAATCCTTTTCAACAAATTCTACCGAGCAAAAAGACAGATCAGTAGTGTTTCCATGTTGTATATCCTGCCCTCCCAAAGATTGTACTCTTATGTCAAGGTTTTCAATACTTAGAGACTTCTGTTCATACACTTGGGCTGATTCTACCACCTCTTGAGATAGGACCTTATTGGATTGGGAATCAGAAAGGGGGTCACCTACCTCGTTAAGAACCTTCAAATGTTCCTCTAGGACCAGAGTGTCTTGTAAAGCAAGTGTAGGATTCTCCACCCTAGAGAGAACTGGACCAATCACAGTCTCTCCCAAGACAGCAACCTCAAATGCTATAGCCCCTGATTCTCCTACTTCCCCAATCTCCCCAAACCCCTCAGCCTTGTTTAAGCACCGTGCTCTCTTTACAAAGGACAAAATAGCCTTAAGGAACAGATTAGGCCCATCATTGTGTGTTCCAAAGGGGATATGAATGAACCTGTTACCTTCTTTCCTAGCTTCTAAAATCCGAATATATTCCCCCCTACGATTAGAGTCAATAGCAATTTCAAGTGTTCTCTTAATATCCAGTTTAACACAGGCCCAAGTTGAACTGGCAAGCAGTTTAGGTAGAGATTCCAAGACCCAATTGATAGAATCAGAATCAAACCATATATGGATGTTTTCTCCCCCTAGCAGAAATGCTGAAGACCTTATTGTAGACAGTAAAATAGCTCAAATACCTGGTTCAAAATTCTAAATTTGAATCTAATGTTCTTACTAGGCCATGGCGAGGGGTTTGCTCTCTGATCCGGTAGGCTTATTCTCTGTTCTGAAAGCACATATGAATTCTTCAAGTCGTTTACCCCGGGGGATTTGAATGGCCATCTAAAGTCTCACCTGCGAAACTTCGATGGTCGGTTGTTGTGATGTGCGCTATGAGAGCTGACTCTTTTGATGAAACCAGATTTAATGTATGATGTGGGATAAGGTTCACCGCGCCGGGGAGGAGCATCTGTGTACAAATATGGTTGTTGCCTGAAGCCATAGATAGGCCGTTGATAATCCGGACGAAGATTTATGTGGTGATGACGACCGCTGAATTCGCCGGAGCTTTCTCTCTCCAAAAATCTGGCCATTCCTTTATATATATATATATATATATATATATATATATATATATATATATATATATATATATATATATATATATATACAGCCCTCCACAAATCGGGACGCATTATTAGGGTTTTGCATCCGTTCCCCGCCGCCGCGAATGGCTCGAAAATGCCTAGCAGCTTCGTCGGCTCCGGCGCAGAGGAACAAGAGATGTAGGCGGGATGAACAGCCGGAGCCTGTGGAGGAGCAGACTATGCCGAAGAATTCCGCGCCCGACGAGGATATTTTTGTCGGAGACCCTGTTCCGGATGCCGAAGCTAGGCGGCGATGGCATCGTCGATATGAAAGGACGAACTTAAACACAAATGGAAGAAGCATCAGTGAGCGGCATGTAGATACAAGAATGGCTAAACGCCATTTCTCTATGGTAAAAGTGGATGGAGAGCTTAATAATCTTCATGATGATGCTTATGTTAATGGTGAGGAAGGTAAAGACAATTATTTTTGTAAAATCGTTGAGATGTTCCATTGGAAAGAAATGTGTACCATGGTACAAAAGTAGTATCCCACAGTTGTGAAGTAGAACGATAGCATTCTAAAGAAATCAAAAAGCTGACCAAGCCTGTAGACATCTCTACTAAGGACTTGTTCCCCGTTACCACCTGCAACTTTCCCCTCAAACAAAGCAATCTGGTTAAGTCCAACATCTCGTCCCTTGCCAACCTATATACAACATCATTAGTGATATCATTAGCTGATAAGTATCATGAAATACGACCTAAACATACCAGCGAGAGAGAGTCTAGTAACCAGGAGGTATTCGTGGTGAGTAACATTGCCTTGGCACAAAGTTGAATTGAATCCTGCATTTTAGTTTATATAAAGAAAAGGTATTACAACCTGTCGTTACATTACAAACCTACGTGCATAAGCTGATTTGATCCACTATGAACTTGTGTCGAATCCACTTCATGCTTATAATACATTGCCACAATTGTTGAGGATTATTATAGGTACATTGATGTTATGAGTCTAGGGTTTCATTAATTATAACTCCCTCTGTCCAGAAATTTTCCTCACATTCCTTTTTGGACCATTTTAAAGTTTTCTTTCCATTTCCTTATTGGGCAAAACATTGTGTAAAATACCTTATTTACCCTTTTTCATTATTTTCCCTCATTACTCCACTCTAACTCTAGATTTATCCGCTGACAGCCATCACATTTTCATTCTTTCTTCATTCTTCCCTGTCGATTCTTCTTCTTCCATCAGATTTGTACATGCCATCTTCTTTTTCCATTATTCTTTTTCTCCCTTCATTTTTTATCTCTTTCTTTCAACTTAATAGTTTTAGAAGATCTACTCCATGGCAAAATATACTCCAACGTATGGGTTCCGGATTGGACAGGCCGCAGCATCTCAAAGCTAGGAATTCCTTCAAGCACCACAAGGAATTCCATGTGTCGTCGTAGTAGCAAGAGCAGAGGCCAGAGGTTGAGGAAGGCAACCCAAGCTGTAAATTTCCAGCTTGTCTGTCATCTGATAACTTAGGTAGTAGCATCTTGTATGTCATGGAAAGGACAAATCTAAAGTTGAAAGAATGGTTATCTTTTCTCACCATGTAAATATGTAATAGATTATGCCTAGGTGCATCATTCTTCATAAAATCGGTAGATTAATTGGAAGAGATGCCAGGGTTTTAAGTCTTTCTGAGACATACGAAATGGTTTTTTTGGTAGCAAACATTGTCTATGTAACTTGTAAACTGTAACTTATATGCTCCAATTTGACCAGGAATGTTTTAAATAAACTCAACAAATGTTAACTATAGGCCATGCATATAAATATAGAACAGTAAGTAAGGATTAACACGCAGTTAATATAGTATATTTCCCAAACTCTACACCCATAAGATTAAAATTAAACACAATAACATTAAATTATGAAACAAAATCCCCTTAAATGTGAAGTAAATTTACCAGAAAAAATATCTTCACTAATATTTATGACGCGAGATGCTTTGCTGATACCACCCCTAGTTATATGGAATAGTCTATCAAAGACATCTGGATGACCATAATGCATACGAACCCTGATGATCATTTCAAATACAAGTTAGACAGACTTTTCTTTCATAGTTTCATGATTACTCTGTAAATGCCATGGAACAAAGGATTTGCTAGAACACGTTGGCCAAGAGTCACAAAGCTAGATTCCTGATTAGACATGAAAGATGCTTAAGAAGAAACACTGAGAAGATGCAAAAGTTTAAAGAGTCAGAACCTAAATAAATGAACTCTGTAAGGGACAAAATACCTCTAATACCATACCTTCCAGTAAACACATGCTCCCTAACATCAAGAATAGTAGGGGGGCGAACTCCATGGTCACATCAAAAGTCTTCAAGAAGATTTCGAACTTTCAAAGCCTCCTCAAAGTGATTATCTTGTCCACATACAAAGAGAAATAAATAAAAAAAATATATACTATCAATTTGTCCGGTAAATAACATTAAGGTCAATATCAATATAAAAATTATTAGTCACCTGATTCATATCAATGGTCTGTATTGCATTTCCACGTGTAAATATAATAGCATGATTTTGATTTTCAGGTTTCCCTTCACCAAGCTTTGGATTTCCAGGCAATTTCACAGAATATATTTCCTGTAATGATTCTAATAGCAATTAGAACATAAAATATGGCTGAAATACATTTGGAAAATTATTCTGATATTGCGGAATCTTTCTGTTTATGGATTTTTCCTTGTTCCATTCCTCCAGATAACGTTGCCATGTAGGGGATTTGATTTCAGAAAGCCATGGTTGTCACGTCGGCAAGTCGCGTTGAGTAGATATATAGTAAATAAGTATAATACCCGTATTAACCCAAAATATAGTTGCTAAGCTAATAGAATAAACATCAATGGGTGTTGAAACAAAACTTAGTTGCAGAACACATACGCAAACATTGAAGAAGAATATCCTTCTTTGCCCGTACCCAAAAGGAGGGGAGAGCAATCTGTGACTAACTTCTCATAAATAGATATTTGATGTCCACCATTCATATCTTTATTAATGATTGTCTAAGTATAAAAAGGCAAAGCCTTGCAAGAAAGTGAAGAAACCTACCATAATAATACAAGAAAACATGAATCCAGATATAGGGATATTTACTAAAATAAAATAAAACTACTAATAGGAGACTAATAATAATAATAATAATAATAATAATAACAATAATAATAATAATAATCTACTCAAAATAATAACAACAACATGATCACCAACACCAATAGTAACAAGAATGATATTAATGACTGTATCATTACACCCCTACGAACATCAAGCTTGTCCTCAAGCTGTGAAGAGAGAGATACGCTGCACCAGCACTTTCCACGAACAAACGACATCAAAATATAAGCACTTGTTTAGTAGAGTACAACACACGAAAGAACCAACTAATGATATAACCCTGAGAATTACCGTGACACTCTAAGTGATGAACTTTGCAGAGCTAGATGTGACTTGCCTGTTACGAAATAGACAATTACTACACCATTGTTCCTCAACTGGCATGTGCATAACCAACCATGAATTCTTGTCTTGCCAAATAAAGTGGATTAATTGACAGTGATCTTTTGCGACTCAGTTACAACTTCAGTAATAGCTTCTGCATGTTTATGTGGTAAATAGCTTTCATGGCGCATGGCGATGGCCATGACGCATATATGGCATGTTTATGTGGTAAATAGCTTTCATGCCACAGGACACAAGTCACACAACCAATTCAATAAATTCATAAATGTATGAGACATAAAATGAATAAAAAATAATAGAGTACTTGATCTAAATCGTCATGTTGAAAATAAAAGCACGACAAAAAAATCATTCCAAAACAGCTGAAGGTGCTAGTATTAAAATAACTTAAGCAAAACATAAAAAATTATTCAAAATTAAGTTCATAAAATCTTTGATCTAGCAATTTAAAATATGAATATCTTATCATCACTCCCAAGAGGTCCAGGAAGTCAGAGGTTGCAGAGAGAGGCATGTAGCAGAGTTGCAATGATCCCATATCAGAGACACGCAACATGCAACATTCTTCCCTTCTAAATCCGCGACTAGCAAAGAAGAAGAAAAGTTGTGATGGCAACGTTCTGTGTGAAGAAGATGAACGACTGGAGAGAGTGAGAGATGATTGACTAATAGAGTATCGTCAATCTCAATAAAGGGTTTTCTTGGATTGGGCCCAAATATAATGGATAAAAAAACTTTGGGCAAAAAGAAAAAATGGTGCACAAATGGGGATGGCGCCAAAATGGCATTGCTATGGGAACACTGGTTGCCACAACCAGATTTGTGGTGATTTTGAGCCCAATGGCCAATGGCGCATATATGGTGCGTGCCATTTGCGCCATCGATAAGCCTGGCAGTACGACAGTAGAAGAGTAGGACTGTGGATAAAGCTTTTGACCCAAGGGTGGTGATGGTGGAAGAGGCTGTGGATATTGCAATTGATATTGATATTCATGTTGCGACATCTTTCAATGTGTTGAACTGACCACCTAAACCTTTCTTTGTTACCACCGCACATAACCTCCCCACCACCGCCGTGCCACCACCACTGCCACCCCACTTTCACCGCCAGCCCCACCTTTACCCTTGTCCTCACAATCATCGTCAACCCCACCACCGCTTGCGGTCTCACCATCGCCGTGATAGTGGGATAGATCTAGAAAATAGATGGATGAAAAGGAAGGAGAGAGAGAAGAAGAAAACAAGAAGAGAAGAAATATAGATCTAGACTCGCCGTCGCCGCCGCCGCCGCCATCATCCCCACCATCGTCGCCGCCATCTTCATTCCCCCATCGTCACCACCGTCCTCAGCCCCGCCATCGCCTCCACTGCCCTTACCTTCACCATCGCAGATCTAGGCGGCGTAGAAGAAGAAGAATACGGAGGAGAAGAAGAAGAAAGAGAAGAAACGAGAAAGAGAAGAAAAACAAAGAAAAGAAGACAAGAAGAAGAAGAAAGGGAAGAGCGAAGAAGAAATCTGACAGACCAGCGGACTATATTGGAGAAAGAAATGAAGAAAGAAAAAAAGAAAGAAATAAGAAAGTGGCGGACGAAATTGGGAAAAAAAGAAAGAAATGGAGGAGGGGTGTTTAAGGTATTTTGTGTGTTAAAATATGTAATGAGAAGATCTATGGCGGACAAATAAAAAGGATTAATGGGAATATCTATGAGGGACGGAGAGAGTATTTGACTTCAACCATTCATCATTTCATTAATCATTGTGTGAGTATAAATGGGCAACACCTTAAAAGACATCTATCATAATCATACTAGGAAACATGAATCCTTATTTAGGGATATTGACTAAAATAGAATAAGACTAGTAATAGGAAATTAAAAATGGTAATAATAATAATAATTATAGTAATAATAATAATCATAGTAATAATACAACAACAACAACCCAGTTGAAGGAGGGTGCGTGTACGCAGACCTTGCCCCTACTCGGAAGTAGGGGGGCTGTTTCCAAGAGACCCCCGGCTCCACCTGCACAAAAATATGGAAGAGAACACAGTATAGCACAGATAAGGCACCAAGTATAAGCAACAAGTACAAACAATAGCCAAAGATCCCCAACAAATACAACACACTACAAAACAACCTCTACAACACCGAGCTCCTATCCAGCTACTCTAATCCTAGTTCTCCAAAGGTTCCTATCTAGGGCCATATCCTCAGTCAGGTCGAGAAGTCCTAAATCATGTCTTATCACCTCCTCCCAATTCTTCTTAAGTCTACCCCTTCCCCTACTTCCCCCGATAACCGTAATCCTCTCGCATCTCCGTACAGGGGCGTCAGCTAATCATAGCCATAATCTTAATAATAATAATAACAATATTTTTATTAATGTTCATATCAAAATATAAAAATAAATGAAAACATAAGTCTAGGGGTAAATAGAAACATTATTTGGATAAGGTCTTAAAAGGAAGGTAAAAACTAAAGTGATAAATTAGGGGACATCGAGCGTTGAAGAGAAACCCTAGGTAAACAGATCTGTGTAGCGTATTCCCGAAGCTCGGAGAGCACCGGTTTCGTCTCTGTTGAAGCAGCAGACATCTAAAAGGATGAATAGAAAAACCCTAAAGTGATAAATAGAAACATTTGTTGGATAAGGTCTTAAAAGGAAGGTAAAAACTAAAGTGATACTCCCTCCGTCCCTAAATAAAGTTCCTCTTTCGTTTTTTCTTTGTCCCTAAATAAACTTCTCTTTTCCCTTAAAAAACCCCTTTTACCCCTTACTTTTTCATACCCTACCTATCACATCATACCTTTTTACTAATAATCTACCTATCACATCTTACTTTTACACATCAAATCAAGGGTATTTTTGGAAAGTCAACACAAAAATATGCCTCCTTAAATCCTCAAAAAGTCAAAAATGGAACTTTATTTAGGGACGGAGGGAATAAATTGGAAGATAAGGAAGAATATTTCAAGTCTATGTAGTGTGAAGTACTCTGTATTAATTACAGAGTAAAAACACAGAAACAAACATAACATCCCCATCCCTTTGCCACCCCTGCCCGAAAAAGGTTAAATAAATAAGAAAATTTAAAAAATTAAAAATGAAAAGAAACTGAACATGGGGAATCGAAAGGAGCAAAACAAAACCACAAATTCCCTAAATAGGACTTGTTATGTTTTTTCCAAAAGTGGATTTAAATAATAAATTAAATATTTATTCATAATTTCTATTTACCATTTTATCCATTAAATCTCAGATCTGTCGGGGTGATGCATCATCGCTTACTTCGGTAACCCCTTTCCAAGGTCAAATAGTTGACAACATAAAAACCAAGCGTAGAGTGGCAAAGTAACCCACCTTGCAAGTTCTTCTGAATTTGTAAAAAAACAGAAGAAATGCAAGCTCTTTTAAATTTGTTTATAGAAAACAACAAAGATGGGCACCTAGTCAAGTAAAAGAACTCAGAGTAATAACAAAAAATAGTAATAAAAGGACAAACCTTATCTTTCCCATTGATGCCAGCCTTCACAAGTTTCGAGAAGTATTCTTCGTGCACTTTTCCTTCAATCAATGTCTCAACCTCATCAATGAAAGCAACTCGAAGTGCTTCATTTCTACAAAAATGGATCGCAATGAATGAAACTCAATATTGATGAATGAGAGTGATTACTTATTGATTATTAGTATTCGAATCAGATTATGATTGAAAAATTCAGATGAGACCACACCAAATCAGAAACATATACAACTTTAACTTTAATTGGAATTAAATGAGACTAGACTAGAAAGATTTCAGTCATATCAGACCTTAATATATCAAACTAATGAGATAAGATGAAGAGAACATGCTCTTAGGCTTCATGTTAAGCATTTGCTTGGTTTGGAGAATATAGGTTCTCAGTTTGTCTTAGAAGCCATGAAAGTGATAAATGTGTCACACTCGGAGCTAGCAGAGAAAGAGAACGAGTCACGGGTTGTGAGTGATGAGTTGAAGCTCAGTGGGAGCTTCAACGGGCCTTCAGATAACTGAAGAGAAGGCCGCTGCAACTAGTGGAAAATGAGGATTACAAGAGTTACAGATGATGAAGACTAAGGGGCGTTGTTCGATCCTCCAAATGGGAGA